ACTCTTGGCTTACCCAGTAGAAACTGGAATTCTGCAGATTTTATGCCCCTTGCCTACTTCTGACTCTTACCAATTGATTTGTGAGCTAAGATGTTTTTGTTCATGCTTTGGGGAGCAGGGATTCATAGCCCTGAAAAGAGAAAACCCAAATATCAAATTCATTTCTCTTTGAGAAAAGCGGGGGTTGTGGTGGGAAGACAAGAAATATGAGCTTGTTGTTGTTAAGCTGAAAAAAGTTTCTATTTTGCTTTTTCAGTTTGTTTTAAAAAGAGGTTCCAAGTGACACTAAACTTAAAAAACGCAGCTTTTAAAGACCAAGCAAGTCAAAATGATAATTAGGTACAAATAACGTAATCTCCAGGGACTCCAAGTACACAGTAAGCAGTTATATATAGCAAAGAATGCTTATCAGGAGTTCTTACCTTTTCATGCCATGAATACCTTTGGCAGTCTGGCGAAATCTATGGGCCCAGAATAATGTTTTTAAATGTATAAAATAAAGTACATAGGATTACAAAGGAAACCAATTATATTGATATGTAGTCATCAAAATAATAAAAAGCATGCTTGTGATATAGAAACATATGGGCTCCTTATTCATGCATTAAATATTATCTGTGGGTGAGAGTAATAACTACTATAATTTCAAAGTATGATGAAGGAGTATAATCAATATTTTGAAATATCTGCAGAATTCTAATATGACAAAAATATCTGTGATTTCCATTGATAACAAAGACACCGCTACTGCCATTATTACTGTATGTTCGAAATTGAAGGAAATGCTAAATTCCAGTTTGAGGTTAGTAAAAATAAGGATGAATGTCTTCCCCATCCAAGTTCATGTACATACTCTTTGGGCACCTGTAAACCCCAGGTTAAGAAGCTTAGACCAACCATGCTGAGGAAATGACAGCTCTATAAACAATGTGGAAGTAGGTTGCATTTTTTCTGTGCACCTGCTCTGATGACTGAATGGTTCTAGAACCCCAGAGAAGGGGGAAGGTAGTGAGCTCTCTTCTGAGAACTGGCTATACCTGGGTCCTTTTTCCTTCATCCCTTCAGCAAAGCAGCTTCACTCTGAGCCCTCCGTGCAGAATCAACTCAACCTCGGCAATTCCCTTTTGATTTGCATGTGCAAGTAAGGACACCAAAAGACATGACAAATTGTGTGGCTGCCAAGCATGGGAAGAAGAGAGAAAGGAAGCCTAAATTCTTCCAAAGGGAGCTTTGGGGAAGGAGGGATGAAAGCAATGTCAACCCTACACTATTGAGTGTCTGACCTGATTTGAAAACAGCATTAAAGATGTTCAAGGAAATTTGCTAGTGTTATTTAGACAGATACAATATCTACCCAAGAAGCTGCTAAAGTAATTTGACTTTCTAAGGAAGGTAGGGTGAGCTCCTATACAGCCAAGGTAATATAGGAGGTATTTCCAAGAGATTAAACATTTCTGGCAACTTTTTAAATTTTTATTTCCAATTTTATTGAATTATCATTCAATGTGGTGTATCTTTGTTACCCAAGACATAAGAGAGTCTCTTTAGGAGATGTGAAGTTTTGAGGTGTGTATGTGTATTTTTATTATATTATGTAAAGTATATTGTGTTATTCAACTTTTTACTTATCTATCTACTAGATTTGTTCAATTCTAAAAGAGGTATATTGGAACCTCTCACTATAATTGCATTTTTCAAGGTTTTTCTACATCTATAATAGCTTTTGCTTAAGGGCTATGTTGTTGGATGCATGATGTTTTATAACTGCTATAGCTTTCCCATAAATTGTGCATTTTCTCATTATATTATGTCTGTTCTTATCCACTGAACTGAAAGTATACTTTGTCTAATATCCCCCTGTCATTCCTCCTTTAGTTTGCATTTGATTGCTATGGTCACCCATTGGTCTTTCTCTATTTACCACATCGTTTTAGACTTTTCTGTTAAACAGCATATAGCTGTTTTTCTTCCTTTCTCCCTTCTCCTCCTTTTTTCTTTTTCTTTTCTTTTCCAGCCACTCAACTACTCTGGCTGTTACTGGGAGAATGAAGTTCATTCTCACTTGGCATAATGACTAATACACTTGACTTTATTTATTCCATCTTTTTGTTTATTATGTATTTCACTTTGTGGTTTCCTCTTACTTTTGCTTTCAGTTTTCCAGTTGGATTAAGTTACTGTTTTTTTTCCTTTTTAATTTAAAAGTTATTCTTTACTTTTCCTAAATTTTTTTCAATCTCTTCTTATTTCTCTATTATTTGAAAATAAAATTCCAATTATTCTCCCACCAAGATCCTCTACCTCCCCCGACTCCCTCTGTAAGATGCGACATTTAGAGCTTTCTTTTCTCCTTCCCCCCTCCCACTGGAATGAACCCTTTGAAATGTTTAACTTATCTCTACAAACTCCCAACTTCTAGATTTTGCTAAAATAGTTTAGTACTTTTGTTCTAGGATATGATTGGAGTTTTCTTTGCATTATGTCCTTCTTATTTTAGGAATCCTTATTTAGCACTTATGTTTCACATTCCCAGTCCATGTAACCATGTGTACACTCTAGTTCATGCTTGTGTTTGCCCTTGCCTAGCCTCTGTTCTGGTGCATTTGCTGTTTGGGTAGTTCTTTTATAAGTACAGTCATCCCTTGGCACTTTTCAGAGTGGCCAGGCATTTGAGTGTTTTCTCATTGACCTGTCCTGAGATTCAGGATACTCCTCCTATTTAAAAACATAAGTCTTTCTTCTATTATATGTTCAATTATTTCCTCTTTTCCAGCTGTTCCTTTTTCTCTGTCTGGTGTCATTTTCACATCTTCTATGGTCTGACTGTATTCATCAACGTCTCTTTTCTTTTCCTTCATAATTTCCATCTATGCTATGTATTTTTGCTTTGCCCTTTGAGATTGTTTTTCAACTTGATTTTTCCTAACACTCTTTGGTTTGCTGAATTGACCACCTAACCTTCCATTTATTTGCTGACATTTTAAATATTTTTAGTTCAATGATCATATTTGTGTGTCTGAATTTTGCACATGAGAGCTTCATAAGTGTTCTTCACAAGTGTTCTTTTATGTTCTTCTTAAGTGCTCTTTTATGTTCTGTTCAAATGGATGCCTCCAACACAAGTTCTGTCAATTTTCTTCTCTGTCTATAGCATCCCCTTGGATGTATTTTTCATACTCGGCTCATTTTGGCTCAGGTGTGGCTGGGGGGCAATCCCGTCAGTGATGGTCAGTGGAGCGCAGCAGGCAGGCTGCCCACCCCAGTCTTCTTTCACTCTCCCTGCCCTTGGCCTACCTATTCTGCTCCATCTGGGCTTATTGCAGGGTGGGAGGGATGGAAGGGGTGGGAATCTGTGATTCTCCATAGAATGAGCTCTTCCTAGGATCCAGAGCTCTTTCAACTTTGCTCTAGAGATCTTCAGCCTCTTTCTCTAGCCTCTGCTAGACTTTCCAGGAATCAAAACTCAAACCTCCCCTGCCCCAGCCTGTGAACTGCTGGGCTCTGAAGGGGCAGGTATATGTGATTTGGGAATGGAGAGGACAAGAAAAACATTTAGGGCAGGTCTTCCCAGATTCCATCTCTAAATTATTACTACCTTATATTTATAAAAGTGAAGCACAATCATTATAAAAATAAAACAAATAGGACAAAGTAAATATTAAATAGTATTAACGAAAGAATCTCTCTGTTTCCATCTATCAATGGTAGCCATTATAGATTGGTGGATCTTTCAAAAATTTTCTATGTAATTACACATATATATATTTAAAAATACAAGTGGGATCACACTGTATACACTGTTTTGCAACTTGTTTTTTTCTCCCTTAATATAATAAGGTTTTTAAAAAATGTAAATTCATAATAGGCTTCCCACATTTCTTTTAATGACCATGTGGTTTTTAACTGTGAAAATATTAAGATGTGTCTAATGAATATTTGTTATATGCAGTTTTCTCTACTATAAAAAGTGATGATTTGAAAAACAGTTGCATACATCTAAGTGACCACATTACTAGATATGGAATATGTGGGTCAAAGGAAATATGCATTTTACATTTTAATAACTTCTGCCAAATTTCTTTCCAAAAGGGTTAAGCTTGTTACTCTCCCATCTCTGGAATATGAGAGTTGCTATTTCACACACTCTGATACTGTATTATCAATCTTTTAGTTTTTAATAGTCTGAAAAATAAAGTTAATATCCTACTATTGCTTTAATTTGAAATTTTTTAATTACGAGTGAAGTGGTGCATTTTTTCATGTACTTATTGTCTGATTATATTTTTCTCCTGTGAATTGCTTTTCGTGTTGTTTTCTTTATCCCCCACTGGATTATTAGTCTTTTTCTTGATTTGCAGGAGTTCTTTCTAACTTGAGGAAGTTAGTTCCGTGTCTTTTATTCATTTTGCAAAAATGTTTCCCAGTGCATCATTTGTCCTTAGCCTTTGTATGGTGGTTTTTGCAATACTGTTATTTTTAATCCTGTGTTGTTTTAATTAACCTTTTAACCTTTTTTTTTCAGGTTTCATGTCTTGCCTAAGAAGATCTTCCTTACTTTAAGATGATAGCTATACAAATAATTAACTCATGGTTCCTTCTTGTACTTTCAAGGTTTCATCTTTTGCATGTAAATCTTTGATCCACCTGAAATTTATTTTGGCATAAAGAGTGGCATAAGGGATCCAACCTAACTTGTTAAATTTTTTTCTATATGGCTATTAGTTAATCAAACATCATGATTAGAGTTCATCTTTTTCTGATTGTTCTGAAATACCACTTTTTTCATAGATTGAGTTCCCTTGTGGCTGAATCTTTTGTTGAATGATTTAAGGTCTCTCCAAAGGGAAAACCTTGTGAGAAAGTGTTTTGAGAGTTTAACTCAGGAGCAAAGAGCCCTGTGCTCGGGAAAATGTCCAGGAGGGTGAAATTGGAACTTTCTCCCTTTCCTCTATGTGGGCGTCCTTCCATGTTCATCTGTCTTCTTGTTATTGGTGTTACAGATATCCGAGAAATATGGGCTGCCTGTGGAGAAGATAGCAAAGCTTTACAAGAAAAGCAAAAAAGGGTAAGAAAGTAACTGAGCTTAAATTGACTTCTAAGTCAGATTAAGTCTATGTGATGCCTTAAAAAACTAAATAAAACCCCAGTTTTGTTAATTCTGTTGGGTATCTTTCGTAAAAAATGTGTAAAAATTGTGTGTTGTCCTTCCAAAGGATTGCAGAGGAGCTTGCAAATGCAAAGCATTTTGAAGGTCTTTAATGAGAGAGGGAGGGAGGACGACAGCACATTGTCATGATGTCAGCCGAGATGCCTATTCCAATGACAGGATAAGCAGGTGGACCAGAGGGGTCTGGAGGTGGTGAGGACACTGGGGAGAATGGCAAAGTCACCCCTATGCAGAGAGTGGGGTTTATAGGGAATCACTTGCAGCCGTAGGGGTCGGCTTCACGGTGGCACAGTAGGAAAGAAAAATGGTTCAGGACATAGGGAATTCATCCAAGGTAATTAACAAAATGTTCTAAAATGATCATTGGACCTGCTTGTTCTCACTGTTAAGAACAATTGCTATTATTTATTGGGTATTCAGTGGGTTCAGTAGGTCCCCTGCTAAGTGCGTTACACGCTTTCCTCTATTCACTCCTCACTGCTCTATGAGGTAGAATCTGTTATTATTGCCAATTTACTGATGAGGAAACTAAGCCAGAGGGAACTTAAACATCTTGCCCAAGGTGTCATGTTCAGTAAGTAGGGCACAGATTCGAACCCAGGTCTGTGTCCTCAAAGCTCAAGGGCTTAGCTCCCGCTTTCTGTTATCTACCACCCTGTATGGACTTCTTGCCTATGCGTGTCTAAGAGTAGTGGCCACAGGAGCTGGATTTGGTTCCAGAAGAGGGTCTTCATTGACTCAGTTTCTGGAGCTACTTTTCTATAGGAAGTAGAAGATGGGTCTTTAAACTCTTCTCTCTGGCCCATTTTCATAAAGGATATTTATTGCCTGAGTGGTGGGGCCTCTTGGTTGACTGTGGGTCGAGGAGGACACCCTTTCTGCCTGAGCCCTGTTGGAAAGTACACTAAAATGCATGTCGCACTTCTTTCCAAGGTCAGTGTATTAGGCTGGGTGCATTATTCCTTTGACCATGAGATTTGAGTGGTGTCTCAAGGTCAGTGCCAAGCAGAAATCCTTAGTGCAGATGCATGTGCTGATGCTAAAATTTTACTTTCATTGAGCTCTGTGTCAGGCCTTGTGCTAAATGCTTTTATCCTAACAATATCCCTCTAAAGCTGGGTGGAGGTACTTATTTTTTCGGAAGAATGAACTGAGGCTCTGAAAGGCTGAGCAACCTTTCTGTTGACACGTATCTGTGAAATGATAGAGTCAGTTCTTCATTCTCAAACTAAGATCTGTCTGACTTCAGAGACTGGGATTAGCTCAAGGTCTTCAGACAATGGGCAGACTCTGGAAGCTGTAGGTTTTCTCCAAACTCAACCCATCAGAAATAGCCAAGGAGTAGGTCATAGAGGGCAAAGCATGAGCTTCAGAGTGAGGCCAAGCCAGTTTCAAATCCACACTCAGCCGTGCACTAGCCGAATGAACTTGGGGAAATGATTAAACCTTGTTGAGCTCCATTCTCTCATTTGCAAAATGGTGATGAAGACACCTCCCTTCAAGGTTGCCATGAGAACTAAATACAAGGTCTCTGAAACACTGGCACCTACTACATGCTCAGTAAAGGGTAGCTGCAATTCTTGTTTAGTTTCCTCTTCCTCCTAAGAGCAGAGGCAACGTGTTTTTTATTCATGCATTTTCAGAAAGCAATAGATTTAATGAAAATAGGGGGCCTAACTATTTAAGTCCTGGCTCTGTCAATAGCTAATTTTGTGATCTTGGGCTTCCCAACTTCTCTGGGCCTTAGCTTACTAATCTATAAAGCAAGAGGGTTGGGTTGAATGTTAGTTCTGAGAAATTGAGGGTTTGTTTTCCTCAAACTGGTTTTTGGGGAAAGAAAATAGAATGAGGGTCTTTCCCTGCCTGTGCCCCCTCCCCTCCATGCCCCTGCAGCCCCCACTGCAGAAGAAGGGCTAAGAGACCCCCGCCCGCAGCCTCCCCTGCACAGTCACACTGCTCACCGCATCTTTCTTTCTGCCTCCCCCCACCTGTGGCAGCATCTTGGTGAACATGGACGACAACATCATCGAGCACTACTCGAATGAGGACACCTTCATCCTCAACATGGAGAGCATGGTGGAAGGCTTCAAGATCACGCTCATGGAAATCTGAGCCCGGGGTTGGCACGCCCTTGGCAGGAGCTCGCAGTGCATTCCTCCCCGGGAGAGACGGAGGCCCCAGACCCCGGAAACCCATCTCACCCCTCTCACGACTGCTGTTACAAGACTGCACGGGCCCCACTGCCCGCCAGGGGGCTTGGCCCATCCACCGGCTCCTACCATGGACCTGAAGCCTGAGCCCCTCAGGAAGATGCCTTGGGCCTGGCGGATTCTTATTTATTACCCACCTTTTTCCAGAGCCCTGGGTCCAGGCCCGCCAGGACTCTGCAAGTCACTGCTGGCTCCAAGTGAGACCGTCCAGAGTTCCCTTCTTAGGAGAAACACTCCCCCCAAAGAGCCTGAAACATTCTCATCCCTTTTCCTCACCTCTCCACACCCCCTGAGTGGCTGGACAAAATGGGCGACTTCCCTGTGCAGTAGTCACAGGTGGGGTAAGAGGCGGACGCCCCCTACTGGTCAACACCTTCAGGCTGCTCTGGAGAAGGTTGTCTTGCTAAATACCTCCAGGGGTTCCCAGCGAGTGGCCACCAGGCCTTGTACAGGAGGACACTCAGCTACCATGTAATTAGTAACTAACACAGGACGTATGCCTGACTCGCATGTACATAGTGTTTATAATATTGCAATAATATATTTTACCTGTGGTATGTGGGCATGTTTACTGCCCCTGGCCTGGGGGAGGCACATACCTGGAGAATCCGCTTTCTACAAGGGGTTTCCGCCACTGTGCCTGTTCAGGAGACATGCTGCGCAAGGGGAGCGGCCTTTAATGGACTCCAGCGGGTGTGCCCACAGCCGCGTCCCCTGTCCCCAGAGGAGCCTCCTCTCCCTCTCCATTGGCACGACCCTCCCCAAGGCCACCACGTTTGTATCGTGATGATTTGCTTTGCTTGACTCTTCCTCTGAGCTGCTGCATGGGAAAGGTCATGTTGTCCAAGCTCTCTTCTCAGCTTGGGTATCAGGCACTGCCTGAGCTTTCTAGAGAGGCTCTGTAGGGGTTTTGTCATCAGGCGCCTGTCGCTGGGGCCTGCTGCAGGACTCCTTGGCTATGGTGAGGCCCCTGGACACTGTGTAGCGCCTCGCAGTTTACAAGCACGTCCTTCATCTCAAGTGGCCCTTTACACGCCCAACTGCGGTTCTGAGAGCCGGGCCAACCGCGCTGCTCTGAATGTGCAGGCTGGGCCTTCCTCCTGCGCAACAAGACGGGCAGGGAGGATTATCTGCCTGGCTTCTGGGCGCTGGACTTCCTCGGAATCCTGCCTCACACAGGAGGAGATGGGGAGAGAAGCCTGCATCCTCCCGCTCCATGCCCTGGGAGACGAAGAGGAGAAAAACACTCCCCTAAACAATCACAGATGATGAACTGTGTAGGCCATGTTCTCTCTGAGGGGACAGGTAGGTGGTTTAGGGGTCTGCATTCACCCTTGCGGGCTGAAGCACTAGATTTTCGGTAGCCAGACACATCCTGTACCCAAGGCCCCAGATCTAGGGCGGCTTCCACGGAAAGGTCCAGATTTGTTTGTAAAGCACTTTGTCGTCTCCCCAGAAAGCCCTTCTCTCAGGGCTCCCTGCTCTCCCCCACCTGCCCCTGAGGTCCAGAGCAGGACGGAGGGGCTGCTTCTAGCTTAGCTGTTTCCCCTGGAGGCTGCAGAGGAATTGGATGGAACAGAGAGCAGGTGCTGTGCCCCAGAAGATCCCTGCGTGGTGGTAAGGGGGAGCCCTCCCGTGTGTCCTCGGTGGCGCCCCTTCCTGTGGTGCCAAAGGTTTGCATCCCATGTTCAGCTCTGCTCCAGGCTGTCCCCTCCTGCACGACAGCCGTACCCTGGGCCAGCCTGGGCACTAAGGGGGCTGTGTTCTAAGATGGACAAGTTCAGTGTTGGACATACATGTGTACTATGCACTTCCCACGCTCCTTGAGTTAGGAATGGTTTCAAACGTGATTGGCAGATGTAGCAGCAAATACTGTTGGGCTGGGGCCTAGGACACCAGAGTAGGGAAAAGACATTTTTGGCAGCCTGACACAGGCTATCTACCCTTCTCTCTCCAGCCTCTTTGGAAAACTGTTTGTTGGTCCTGCCCCCAGGCAGAAGATGAAGCAGACATGCTTTTGCATTTGTCCTAATGAGCAATCACTGTAGTGACCATGGCCAGAACAAAGGATATGAAGCAAGTGCCACCCAAGGGTGGTGCAGTGCCATGTCCCTTCTGATCTGTTCCCCTCTGCATTTCCAGAGTGCCCTGGCTTAGCTTTGAGGTGTCGTGCCCTGTGTACTAGCAGAATTTTGACGAGCAAAATTTCCTGACCAAAAACACTCCAGGAAGATTGGAGAACTTGCCTCCTCTTCCTTTTTGTCCCTTAACCACACTCAAATAAATAAGCTTTTTCTTTTTTTAAATCCATGGGAGACGAGGGACATGTGAAGCAAGTGTTTTCCTTACACATCTCCAAATTGTTCAGACTTTACAGGTGTTTGGAAATTGGGACCAACAGAAAATTGCAGTCAGATGTCTTTTTGGAGTTGGTTCCCAAAAGACTAAGGCACGTCCCAGCCCAGAAACTTAGGAAGCGTGAAATGAATCAAACATTTATTTTCCTTCTTATTTAAAATCATGAAAATGCAACAGAAATAGAGGGTTTGTGCCAAATTCTATGAACAGCCCTTTCTTAAAGACAAGCAAGGGAGATTGATATATGTACAATTTGCTCTCCTATTAAAAAAAGAAAAGTCAAATGTAACTTAATAGTTTTGTAAATGGGAAATGGGGAATCTATAAACTATAAATACAGTTATTTTATTTTTTGTACATTTTTAAGAAAAAAATAAATATTCATAACAGAAGAGTAAAACAGCAGCAGCTGGTGCTTTCTGTGAGGTGAGTGTTGGGCTTTTTGCCTGGTTGGAAAGAAGTTCCTTTGTGTCTCCCCTGGGCGTCAGCAGAGCTGAAATTTCCTCTTAAAGTTACTCTGTTGTGGCCCACCCCAGGGTCCTGTGAGAAGAGGCTAAGGCTGTCACGAGGCCTCGGCATGACTGTGGCAGGTTCCCGGGGCAGCTGTTCCCGGCCAGTCCCTCCGGGCAGGGCAGAGGTTCCCTTCTGCCCTCCTCAGCACGGGCTCACTCACCGCCCCTAATTCCCACGGACGCTTTCTTCTCCCCTCATTCATCCGAGCCAGCCTCTACCTAGAGACTAGAACCACTGGCTCTGACTCCAATTTTATCACAATCTCTTGCCCTGGAACCTGCAGGCTCCCCTGTATGTGTTGCTCAGATGTGAACCCCTCGATGCGCTGTCCCAGTGTGTGTAGGGTCACCCCCTGGAGAGCTGCCCACCCCCCTTTAGCCACCATCCGCTGTCATCTCCCAGGGCAGCTCTGTTCCAAATGAGCGGCACCTCTATGTTCTCCCACACTCCCTTTCTCTCTGGCCACGTCCACAGCTTTCAAATCTTGGCTAAAAGTCTGCCCTCAGGAAGGCTCCCTGGACTGACTTCAACCCAGCGGCCTCCGTGCATGGGCCAGGGGCGGGCGGGAGCGGGGCTGGGAAGTGCTCCTTGAGGAGCCTTCTGGAGAGATGTGGGGGGCCCATGGCAGTGGGAAAGGCGGTGGTCACTGTGTGGCTTCAGGTCCTCCAAGATGATGCTGCCAAGATAGGAGCAGGAGTTCGGGGGATTTATGGAGGGGAAGTTACGTGAAGGAGACGGGAAAGCAGCAGGCAGGGCCAGCCTGCAGACTGCCGCCACAGGACGGGCAAGCACGGCCGGGCAGGGAGGGCCTCAGACTGCGGCGCAGCTGGGAGAAGTCTCAGCCAGGCCAGCGGGGAGGCCCCAGGCAAAGGTTGCCCACTGAAGTGTCCCACTTGGGGTAAGAAGGGCCAGTCTAACAGCCTCGCCGAGTGCAGTCACTGACAAGGTGCCGCCCAAGGAGAGCGCAGCCTCGGAGTGGCTACAGAGGAGTGACAGCCGGGGCTCCTGATCAGCTCCACCGCCGGCAGCAGCTTCTCCTGAAGGAACATCTGCGCAGCTCAACCCCCTTTGAAATAGAGACTTGTTCAGGCTCCGCTCAACATGCCCTGAGTGAGCTTTCCGGACTATCACCTTGGTACAGTAACTGTCCCCAGGGGTCCCTCATTCCTACACCTCTCTTGAGCTCCTCTACATGGCACATGGGGTAATTTTAGGGACTCGGGAATTCTACGATGGGGACCTCTGGTCAGCCAGAAGCAGCAAAAGAGGGGAAGGGGGTGGTGAAGAGCTAGCAAAGGCGAACAGCCCCTAGGCACCGCCCAGGAAGGAACCAGGTTCCTGTTCTGCCCTGGGGCAGAGGTGTAAGCTGTGACTGGAGTCACCAGCTGGGCAGTGAGCTCCTCTCCTATTTCTTCGCTAATAACCTTCCTCACTCCACCCCACCCCAATACATCCCAGACTATAGAGCTTGGTTGTGTGTTGGGTCACCATTGAACACCCAGTGTGAGCCCGATGAAGTGATTAAACACTGGTATTGGCAAGATACATCTCGAGGGGCTGTCCATCTGTCTGTCTCCATGAGGATGGCATGCTGGTGACAGAGGTGAGTATTTAACAAGGGTTGGCAAGCCCAGCTGCCCCCATTTCTCTTAGAGAACTATTAAAATGCCAGCCACTTCCTGGAATAGTGCTGAGAAAAGAATTCATGAAATACCCTCCCTGAGGCCCTGGCCCCTCCCAGCTGCCCCAAGTGAGTTAGCTCTACGTTGTTGGAAATCTCTCAGAGGATCCATCATTTGCGTCCCCAGGGTGTCTGGGACCACACATTGCACATTAACACCCAGTACAGCAAATGCCCAGGACCCAAGTCCCGGCCACGTGGTCAGCATTCAACAGTAGAGAAACCTCCTTGGAATGAACAAATCATTTGATGATACCCTCAGCCTGAACATCTTTTCCCTGTGCAACAGTTTTCCTGTTTTAGGTGGATGCGATGGTATTCCACTGACTTGGAAAATACAAGACTCAGTGGCTTTTCTCTTGTTCCTTCAGCCACATCAAAACCCAGAAAATCTCAGGAAAGTGCTGAGCACACTCCTGACAAAGACGATAGGTGAGAAGCATCTCCAGTTCTCCCCAAGGCAGTTCTTGTGCTTCCCTCTCTACCTTGACTGAGAGAACACGTGGACTCCTCCTCAGCGGGTGGGCACCCTCCATGCCTGACCGGGCTGTGAGGGAGCTCAGCTGGGTTGGGGCATTAAGACAATGCCCTGAAAATAGGAGCCTCAGGGTTAGAACTTTGCTAGAAAGGACCAGGTTGCAGGTGTGCAGCCTGCTTCTCAGGTTGGAGGCTCCTAGCCACTTTCCCACCATGTGCCTTGGTGTTTGTCACTCATGCTACATACTCATGGCTAGCAGGGTAATTTCTGGCCCACAGAGACCAGCTGTGTGCAATAGGAAGACTGTCTCCAAGCCAGCTCAACCCCCACACCAGGGCTATTTGGCTCATGAAACACCCGCTGGAGCTGACACTCAAGTTGGCCAGTCAGCAGCCCCTTTTCTACATTAATGGCCTCCTGTGCTGAAGGCAGGGCCAGTGACAGCAACAGAACCCAAACACCTTGATCTGAATTGGCTTTGAGGGTGTAGCTCTGCATCATGTCATCTTTTTCATTGACTTGGCCCAGGCTGAGAGGGGGAAGAAGAGGTATTAATTTCCTTAGGCTTACCAGATCCCTCTGAAGGGGGAAGCCTCAGTTTCTCTTTCCATTGTGCCTCATGCTCGGACTTGGGTTTCGGGAAGGAGGGGAGGGGAGAAGAAGACCATGATGGGAGGAAGGGAAGAAGCCCACACGCAGCCCAAGGATGCTTCCGGACAGGGCAGGGCTTGGGCCCAGCAGCCTCTCCCGTCCTCCCCCACCCCCTCCCCAAACCTGGGTTCCTGTGTCTCTCTAGGGCAGAAACACCACCCTGGGGGAGGCCAGCGTCAGAGCCCGGAGCCTCACTGCGACACAGAGTCAGCTGGGGCTGCAGTTTAGGCATGAAAATCCCATGTTCCAGGCGATCGTATGAAACAATAAACATGCTTTAATGCCAGGCAAGAGCTACACAAAAGCGACTGATATAGTGGCCACTCTATATGATATGATTTGTGACTATATATATTACTAAATCCACCTGTGGAAAGTCCCCCTGCGGCATACCAATGGGATGGGACAGCACCCTCAGCACCCCTTCCCCAAATGAGGCATGAACAGTCAAGCACTCTGTAGAATCCTTCAGGTCGTAAGCCACTTTATTCCAGTCCCTTGGACATCACAGGCTGGCTTTATTTGGGTCAGAACAGACCATTTCCAGAGGTCCCTGAACACAGAAATGACAAGGAGCAGCCCAGCACAGGAGTGACCCAAATTTTTAGGCGTTCCGCCTCTGGGTGTCGTGGAGTCCCTGGGCCAAACTTGAGTGCACTGGATTAGACATACAAGGGCCTTCCTGGGAAGGAGGAGAAGGAGAAAAACAACCCTCGGGAAGACACAGACAGGGTCAGCGGCAGGCCAGGACACGGACTGTCTGCGTACATTCTGGGAGCGTCGGCACGCGTTAGCCAAGCATCTGGCTCTGTTTTCTTTCCTGACCAGCTGGAGACCTTCTCTGCTCCTCACCCAGCTCTGGGTTCTAGGAAACAGAGTGGGTCTAGCTCAACAAGACGTCATGACCAAGGACAGGGCCCAATCATTAACGGATTGCACCCATCAAAGGAGAACTAAAGGGAGGAATGAGGTGTTCAATCCAGAGCAGGAGAAAGTGGAATGTGGCTCCTGAACACACCAACGTGTGCTGGGCCCCCTCGCCCACTCTGCACTCCATGACTTAGCTTATTTTCCAAAAATATTTTACCACTCAGCCTGTGCAGGCATTTGGCAAGTCTTGGAACCACTATGAGGAACTGACACTCAGCGGAAGACTGAGATTATGCTACCAAGCCCAGGTCTCAGAATGTCATCCTACAAATTTGGTTCATTTTGGTCCACTCTGCAAATTTGGATTTTTGTTACCAGATAGAACAGACTCCAGTCATATACAGGAACCTGGAGGTTAGAATGGTCTCAATGACACTTCCCTCATGGTGATGGTGTTTATCTCTCTGTTCCTGTTCTACAGGACATGGCTTAGCAGCAGACAGACCAACTTGGGACCTCTCTGCCTTCCCTTGGGCCAGGTTCCCATCAACATCCTTGAGCGTCTTGGCCTCCTCACACCAACTGCTGGCGAGAGTGTGACTTGCCTGTGACCGGCAAGTTTTACTCTTCACCTGCAATTCAAATCAGTGTACGTGAGTGCGGGCGCCAGACCAAACAGCAACTCAAACGTGTGCTGTCACTTCTGGAAACAGAAATCTTCATTCAGGGAACACAACGATGGAAAGTACTTTAGGATTCCTCATAGTGGGACTTGGAAACCACAGGCCCACTAGTCCGTATCTTCTTTACGATGAATTAGATCAACCCAACCTCTGACTCTTTGACAGGCCATCGGGGGCATGTTAAAGGGAATGTTCCAGACACGGCTCCCTAACCATACACATGGACTAAACCATTGGGAATTCCCAAGAATCGACACTATTTTTTTCAGGTCCGCAGAATATCAACCTGCTCAGAAAAGCACCAGGCCTCCAACCTGATGTTGTCAACGGGCTGCTGGGTCAGGTGGGTGAACCACCCGCCTCACCTCTCCTGGAAAGGCCAACCTCCTGGCGCTCCACTTGCACACGTCTGGCCACACTGCTCGTCACCTGCTCTCCCAGCACTGCGACTCGGGAAGGGCGTTCAAAATGAACGTTGGGCCCTAGGCAGGGTTACTTTGTACTTTTATGGAATATATAAAATATACTTGTCAATTGGTACATTTGTGCAAAGGCAGATATGACTTTAAAACAAGACGTAGACATTCATTATAGTTGGCTTACTTCACAATAAGCTACTAAAAACAGTCTCTGGAATAAGATTGTATTAGTGCTCACTAAACATGCATTTCATTTAAACAAGGCAAAACACTTAATTTGGTCTGCAATACCCAATAGTTTATATACAGCAGTCTTCTTTTTTTTTTTTTAAATCACAATAGGCAACAAGATGGGTCTGGTTTTGGAATATGTTACCCTTTGTATTGAATTTCCAAAGACACTCCTATTAGCTCAACTAGTGTAAACCTGTGAAAAAATAGCTGAGCCATCGTTTTCCTCTCCTCTCCTCATTTACCTTGAAATGTTCACAGCTTAGAAACTGCAGCCTGCTGGGGAGGCGGGTGGAGTGGGCCCCATGGGGGACTGTCCCAGCTCCTGTTAATAGCCTCGCCCCAGAGGGGGACTTGTCCTTGGGGAATCCAGCCTCAGCCACCCACCGCCCCCAGCAGGCCCAGGCAGGGAGTTCTGTCTTTCAAACGAAAGCCCCTCAAACTTACAGAGGAGTCCCCGTGCTGCACGGGTTTCCCTTCTCTTGCCTCCCCACCCCGAGTCTTAGGTTTTAGAAGAGAGACATTAGAATCAAAAGAAAACAATAATAGTAACAATTAAAAATCGTCAAACAACGAACACCACGAAGTCTGTCCATGCTCCCCACAAGCACGCTGGGGCTCTGGGCATTCCCACGAAGCGTCCACGACAAAAGAAGCTGAAGGCGTCACGGAGGAAAGCGCATCTGACCGCACAGGGGACAGCATCACCATCAATATTGTTTGGCAAATAAAAGAAAATGATCAAAAAGAAGAATCAAAGGGAACACAAGCAGCTCTACACCGGGCCGGCGGGCGTGGGGCTCAGAACTGGCCGGCGCTGCTCGGGTCGCACTGCAGCAGGCGCACGATGGACGGGTCGCTTTTGGCCCCTCGGATGAACTCTTCCAGGGAGAGTTTTCCTAGGAAGCAAGAGGACGGGTGAGTGGCGGCAGGCGGCAGTGGCGTGCGCTCACACCCTTCCCACAGCACGACGGTGACCGCAGCCACTCATCACCTTCTGCCCACGGCCTCACAGCCGCTGTGACGCGCAGCACTCACCTGTCCCGTGGAGGAGCCCAGGTGACTCTCTTTCCAATGTAAGACCCACGAGCACTCTGCCTGTTCACCGGGGCACTGCCAGCCCAGGCACAGCGCACACTGCAACACAGCTCCGCGTCCTAGCAGCCCGCTGTGTGCCCGGGGGCTGGGGAGAGGGTGGGGATGACCCTGACTTGGTCCCTGCCCTCCTGGCTCTTCCACCTCCAGGCACCCTGGAGGGGCTCACACTCAGTATTTTGGGATGAGAGGCCCCAGTGCCTTGATGAGAATGAGCTGGGCCCTCCCAGCACCAAGGCCGTTCCCACGGTGCCCCTGGGAGCCCGTGGGCCCCCTCAGGCGGCTTCGGTGTACTCAGGTTTGCTGCAGGAGCCCCTCACATCTGGGGGTGCAGCCCTGACCTGAGTGTCCGTTCTTTTAGGAAACGTGAGGACAGCTGCACCTCCCCCACCCCGAGGTCAGGAGAGTGAATGTAGGGGTGTGTGTGCGACTCACAGGGTGACCCCTGGTTTCCGCCTACCCTGATGGGCTGGAGGAGGGAGACCCGGCAGCCTGGGTCGCACTCCCGCCCAGTGGCCTGTTCCTTCCCGCACAAGCCGGAGCACGTCCTGAATTCTCTTCCGGGAGGGCCCCTCGGTCACTGTGGTTGTGGAGAGGGCAGGGTCGTGGGTAGGAGCTGGGGCCACAGAACTTTTCCCCATTCCTGGAGCTGCTTCTTTGCCTACCCTGCCCCTGGGAGCGACACGGCTCACTTGATTGGTGAATTTGGGAGGAACTGCCGGGCACTTTTGCTCGGCTTTGCCTCCTTCTGCCCCTGGAAGGAGCTGCCCAGAGAGGACTCCTTTCCGCCTGCTCCGCCAAGGACGGGCGCCGGCCCGCCCTGCCCTGCACAGCCTGCGGTTTGTGACCAAGGCCCTTGGACCTCCACACTCAGCCACGTCCTCCACGTAGCTCTAGCCTTTGGCCTCAATTATTGCTCTTTTATTTCTCAATTTATTCCAAACCCAGACAGGAGGGGGTTCCTCCACCAGAGATATCAACAAATACCACTTCCCCTCCACCATAACCCTTTCCTCCCAGAACCTAGTTCTTGTTTAATCAGATCCACTTTATTTACGTGAAAAAGAAAGACAGGGATTTATTCATTTATTTATCTTTAATATGTAGAGCTGGTCCCCTCTAGGTTTTGTGTTCTGACCATTTTTGATGAACTGTGCCCTACCCCCCACGTAGTAGTTAAAATGGTGGTGACTTCCGTAGGCTTTGCAAGGCACGCACTCACTGGGGAAAGGAGACAGCAGCGGCCACCGAGCACCTTGGAATCTCTGTGAGGGAGGCTCCGGGAGCTGGGCTTCAGGGCTGGGGTTCCCTGTGGCCCCATGATTTTCTCTCCAAGCCAGGGGTTAGACGCCAAGAGCTTCAGGCAAGAGGAACCTAATGGCTGGAGACTCTACGTGAGGTCTGCTCTGCTCCAGGCAGGGAGGGGACCGGGTGGCCTCAGTCCTGGGGGCCAAAAACCAAGCCCTGAACTAAAGCACCCAGTCTCCTGGTTGGGATAAGATTCCTCTGAGTGCTGTGGACTTACAGCCCCTCCTCCTACTTCCTTCCCTCTGCTGCTCTCCTTTCCTCCCCGCCCTCTTTTTAAACACAAGGCTTTCCCTCACAAAGCACAGGACTCTAGCAGTGAGCTGGATTCCGGGAATCTAACCCAACCAGGGCTCTGCGATCCTATGGTAGCAGAGCCCCAGTGGAAAGACCCTAATTCATCACCCGTGACCAACACATAGTTGGGTCTTTATCCTGTGGTGTCTTGATTTTCTTCCACCCTTTAGCCTGATTCTAAAGCAGAGCATAAACCCACTGTGCTCCCTGGAGCACCAGCAAATCCTACAGCTTAATATCAGCGAGTTCGTTAGCTATTAAAATAATCCTGTGCTTGTTTAGTCTTTACACACAATCAAATATAAGGGGCAATAAGATGTAACAGGATGTAATGGCACCTCTGTGGAGGAAACTAAGCAAACAGAAGGGCCTGCACTGTGCAAACCCAGACTCCCAAGCAGCTGGTGCCCCAGGGTGGGGACAGAGAGAGAGAGAGGCTGGCTCTGCTGCAGAGCCTTCCGTTGTTCTGTAGATCAGTGCCAGGTAGGCGTGCGGGTGCTTTTGCACAGCGTGGACAGGAATTGCTCTGAGCAGAGCAAGTGAGCTGGTAACAACAGCAAGAGCTACGGAGCTTGTTATGGACCGGGCCCTGAGCTTAGCACTTTCAACTCGGTGTTACATCTAAATAGGGTGGCCAGATTTGGCGAATAAAATACAGGACTTCCAGTTAACTTTGAATTTCAGATAAACAGTTTAGTGTAAGTACGTCTCAAATATTTCATGGGGCATACTTATACTAAAAAATCCCTTGTTTATCTGAAATTCAAAGATGACTGGGCCTTCTCTATTCTATCTGGCAACTCAGTATCTAAAATCCTTCTGTTCTGGAGTTTGAAATCCAACCTTCCTTTTCACTTTGTTGGGTTTGAATTGTGGGTGGCACCATCAGGGCTGGAACCTCCTGGCCACCTCACTCCCTCACCCCTTCTCCGTCCCTGGCCCCCCGGTGACTGAGGGAGCCCACGTGTCTCTGGGAAACCCAGCACCTTAGAGCATACACAAAAGACCCCTTGGGCAGGCTGGGGGGAAAGCTGCTAGCATCTCCCATTCTGATTGGCCTGCAGGGTCCCAGCTTATTGTGCCCTGGGCCTGTCCTGCGGACTGGTCTGTGCTAACCATGCTTTCTTGAGTCCTTCTATCCTGCTCCACAAGACCTATCTTATTTTCTTGGGAGTAGAAGGTAACCTAGAAGGAGGATAGAAGGGCCTAGAAATAAGGCATTTTCCCCCGGACTGGGATCAGCTCTCTAGTGACCACCTGATCCTCTTTCTTCCCACCCAGCTGGGAGGCACAGAGGATGAGACAACCTCATAAAGGGTCTCCAGCCAGGTCCCTGAGGCTGAGATTTTGTCCATCAGTGGCATTTCCCTTCCTGAGCTGCCCCGGCCCCTCCCACAGCCCCCACCCAATGAAGCAGAAAGCCTCCTACCGTCTCTGTTGGTGTCCATCTGGCGGAAGATCTTCTCTGTCCTTTTCTCTGGGGTTGACTCGTCTTCAGGCATTTTCATTACGGAGGAAACCATTTTATAGATTGCCTGGGGACAGAAGAAGCGTGGTGGTAAGACAGAAACACCGTGTGGCACGCAGTAGTCCTACTGTTAAATCTCCCAAATGCAAGTGTGAGGGACTGTCCCCAACCACAGCCCTGTCTTTGCAGAGTTGTGCAGGACATGGGCGCCAGGCCAGCAAGCTTGCTCTCGTCCAGTGTGGACGCTCAGGAGTGACAACCGGTAGGAAGGTCCACTAGACCCATGTCTGCAACGTCAATGTATGTGTGAATTCCCTGGGAATCTTGCTGCGATGCAGAATCTGATCGTGCAGGGCCGGGGTAGGGGTGGGGACTGAGATTCTGTGTTTCTTTCTAACAAGCTCCTATGTGATGCTGATGCTGCTGTTCTGAGGACCCCACTTTGAGAAACAAGGCTGTAGGGGACATTCCTCAGGCCGGAGAGACAAGCAGATGTCTATCGTGGTCTCCACGAAGGCCCCTCAAGGACGATGAGCACACACCGCCTGTAAGCGGTGCCTGCGTCTTCCCCAGGCAGACACCCCCAACCCATCCGGACGCTCTTCCCCCCGCAGGTGCCAAGGGGCTCACATTCCTTCTCTGCAAGCTCCCAGGTATCCCTGACATGGAAACAATCTGCCATCCGAGTTTTCGATTAAATATGCAATCTCCGGCCTGAGGTCAACTGGGTACAGCTGTGAAATATCATGGGCAAGGAGTTTTGCAAGCTGTCCTGAAAACGCCTGGAGGCCTGCATGGAGGCCTCAGTTGTGGAAGGTAGTTTTTATTTGGGAAAAGAAATGTAAAGTCATTGCTTCTATCCCCAGATCATGACTTTGCTAATCAGATTTGCTTTGGGCACCTCAGTCCTGGGAAAAAGTTCTAGAAAAAGTAGGTTTTCCCAGGGGTGGGCAGAAAATTCCAGAAATTTCTGGAGTCTGGGGACAGTTGGGCAGCTGGAGGGAGCAGAGAAAGGAAGGCAGCAGAGGGGAAGTGGCTTCCAAATGGGAAATGTGGGAGAGAAGAGGGACACTGCAGATTTACTTAGCCACTTTGCAGTCTTATTCAGGACCAGCCCTGCCTGAAGTGCTGAAAATGTTCTGGATAAGGGGGGTAAATATTCTAACTGCAGTCAATCAGATAGGGGGGAACACTTGGCCCTTGGGATGATCCCGTGCCCTGGGACCCTTAGACCATGCTTCCCGAGCCTGTCTGGAGCCACCCAAGCTCCTGCTGAACTCCAGAGCTGCCTCCAGGGCCACATGGTCTGAAGGAAGGTCAGGCTCAGGTATGGCCCTGCTTGGGGTTACACTGGGGTGAGCTCGGCTATAGTCACTTTTCCCAAGCAATGTTCATCCAGATGTGGTCTGGAGGCAGGAGGTGAGCTGTCATCTGTCCTTCTGCCCCTGGACCCTGCTTGCTGTCTCCACCAGCCGAGGTCTACGCCGCCTCCTGTCCTGGGGCCACAGTGCCATGTGCCAGGCTGCTGGGGACACCTAACTCCTTGGGGGAGCTAGGAAGGCCATGGAGATAGATCTCTTTTCACAAAAGGGCAAACAGAGGCCCAGAGATTTAACAGGGCCGGGAGAATATTTAGTAACAGCAGAAAGCAGGAATCGTTCCAGGAAGTCTCCCAACCTCTTCGTGGCTTTCTTTGCTCCCACAATGGAAGCTTTTCTATAGCTCCTGACCTAGTCAAAATGGAATCGGTGGCAGTGACTGATAAACAGCACAGCACACCCTCACATGCATCTCAAACTCACACACCCTAAGCCCAGGGACCTCAGGACAACCACACCACCACGGTATCTGGAAATCAGCATCTCACTGGGTCACATTAGTGCACTCTGTAAAGGAGGGGAGTGGCGCCAGCTCAGGAGCTGCAGAGGTGTAGCGGGAGGAGCAGGGAGGGCCAAGTGACACATTTATTTTTTGCCACTGGTCTTAGGGAAGCTGTGTAATTACTCATCCTCAACCTTTCCTGGGGCTGGAATGTTCCTTCCCTGAGCCTGGTCTGGCCTCGGTAGGGCTGTCTCACTTGGCGCTTCCTGGTGCCACCTGCTTTGTGGCCATGACTGGCCAAAGGGGGCATTTCCTAACCTGTTGGATACATACCTTGGTTTCCTGGGCCAGCAGCTTTGTGTACACTCTCCTCTCATCGGAGTGCTACCCTACCCCCTCTCCCCTCCTCTATGAAAACTTTCCCATGAGTTAGGGGCAGACTGAAATGTTACTCTCCTCCAGGAAGCCTCCCATGGTCTTCCCTCCTTCCATTGCTATGTACACTCTCCCTTCCTCTTTGCTAGCAAACGGCTCCATCTCAGCCTCTCTTGGATCGCTTCATTCCACTCGCTCTGAACTGCAGTTACGCAGGACGTTCTCCTTTCAGATGTGAGGTGGCAATCAGATCTGGCTTTCCTGGGAAACCCCGCTAATGCCTCACACGGGGCCCTACACAGTCAGCCTCTCTAAGAGAGCGCATTCCAGAATAACGCCGCTGCGAGTGCCTTCTCATATTATTTCTCCTCTCTCACCTCCCTTCTGTTCTGCTTTTCTTTATAAAGTTCTCCCTATATCCTTTCATATTTTTCTCGGTTTCTTTTTCTCCTTCCTCTCTTCATATAATTGAACATATTCACGTGAAACCCCTTAAAGATTCTTAACGTGTCAACAGCCGTGGGCCCTCTTCTTAGGGACCACACGAATGTGCTGTGGACGCCCACGCACCACCGCGGGCAGTCTCGGGGCCTTCCGGACTCCCAAGCCCACCCAGGGACCCCCGGTTATGAGAACCTCTGTTCTTTCAGTTCCTCCCACCCAGTTCTCACTCAGTCACAACTACTATTGCCAGGTATCATGACTGTCCCAGTCCTTGTCCTCACAGGGTTTGCTGTTGAATAAGGCAGACAGACATCATTAAAATAATCAAAAAAACAAATGTAAAACCATTGCTGAAGAAAATGCTACAAAGGGGGGTGCTCGGTCTTAATAGATGATATCATGGAGGATTGGGCCTTGCCAGGAGGGTTAGGGTGGGCTTCGCCGGGACCGATGAGTGGGCAGATATGACAAAAGCACAGGGCGAGGGAAACACCGTGTGGAGGCCCAGGGTTGGAGGCGTGCAAGAACGCACGCGTGGCACAAGATGTGGCCCTAGAGCAGGTCGGTACAGCACACTGGGGCGTCACAGACCATGCCCAAGTATCTGAATTTCTCCAATGAACAACAAAAAGATAGAAGTGACATTAAATTTGATTCACCTATTTATACTCACTTCCCAAATTCTCTATTCCCTTATTTTCAGGCAACAATGTTCAGAGAATGGAAAAATGATCATTCATAATTTATTTAATAATTACTATCTACTGTGTGGTAGGTGGTGGGGCATAATTATCAACAAGACTGATGCTGTCTCTTATTTTGTATCTCACTAATCCTCTAGTAAAGGACTTCGGAGGTACCATATTGGACATCAAAATCACCTCATTTGTAATGAGCACCATTTAGATAGGTACAGACATTACAGCCATTCTAGTAACGCCTTCATAGTCGTTATGAAAGCCCTCACCTAGACTACCTCTGGTCTCCCGGTAACAAATAAAACCCATTGGTCTGGAGCACTCCTTGGAACTGTCAGCCACTAAGGTTCGGGCCCATGAAATTCTACTTGGGATTCGGATGCAAAATCAACTGTGAAGCTATTCCCTTACCACGCTTGGTTGAAGAAATGAAAGCCCAAGCAAACACAGGAATGTGTGTGAGAGGAGGAGGTTCTCACACTCAACAGAGCCTTCCAGAGTTTTAGTGTTCAGCTCTTAGGCTAAAGGAGCAGGGTTGGTACAGAGAAATGAGGATAGGTTAATATAATAGCCAGCCAACCATCTGTCATCTCCTCCCCAAAATGAGCAGAGCCAGAAGGCCCTGACGTGAGCACAAGTGTGAACGGGGCTTCTGGGACGGGCAGCAGGCCTAGTGTCCAAGTACACTGTGGGTCGAGGAGGAAGTGAGGTCTCCTTTAAGAGGCTCACATCTCTAGATGGCCCTTTCATGACACTCAGATTACATTTGCATCAACCCACTGACAGGGATGAGTGGATTATTTACAAAACCAGGTCTAAGGCATACGTGGTACCACAGCGGAGAGCAAAGAGCTGAGGCGTGGTCTCCAGGGTGAGCACGAGGACGACTGCCTTGCAAAGCCACATCTGGGGAGTTGTCTGTCCCTTTGCTCCCTTCCCACGGCACCAACGGCTGACAGCTGATTGTATTCGAACTTCACAATCTGGACTGCTCGGCACATAGAGGAAAGAGACACGACCCAGACAGCCCTCTGAAACTAATCACGTCTTTTCTTAGCTCCAGTTTCCCCCACCTCCCACAATTTAGTGGGATTAAACTGTGAAGAGACCAGGCTACTTCCCTACTTTATTTTTAGCAATGTCAAGAGGCCTACCAGGGGTGTCCTGTTTTTGATTAAACTTGAAGAGCCCTATTCCTGTCTCTGGGTAGACACAGTGGTTTGGGGCACCCGGGCAGGCTTGGGACAGCTCCCCACTGTGGCCAGGGCTCCTACCAGCTTCCCTACGGCCTATATTTTTCTTTCTTTTTTTCTGTTGAAGGAAAAACCGCCTGGAATGCCGGAAGGGAAGGACTCAGATTTGCACGGACTAAGGCTGTGCGAGTAACCGAGGGCATGCACAACTCCAAGAGTTCATACGCAACCTTTTCTCTGAAGGAAATCACACTGACCCTTTTCATCAGAAAATTTAGGGTCTTCTAACGGGAAGCCAGACACTTTCTGATAGCAGACAAAGGGCAAGAGCAGTTAGGCAGTACAAGGTTGTTTTTAGGTGACAAAGAATAGCACCCTGCTTAGAATGATATTACATGCCAGGAAAGGGAGGGGGCATGAAAAATCTTTTTTGAAAATACTTAAAAAATGGGATTAACATCTATACGTGTGGAATGGCATCAGTACTTTCCCATTTAGAGCTGAAAGAATAACTTAAATTGGTAACTTTCATACTT